GGTGTCATACAATTGTCTTGTTAGTACCATGATGATGAACCTATACGTGGTACAAATACACCAAGGTGTGCCCTTCTCCATCAGTCATACAAGTGGAAGATCAGTTAGTGCACATTTATTTTGTCTATGGTTCCAAAAGTTGGTACAAAACATGTTTTAATATGATCACATATCATTAAGTCAACAGACAGCAGTTGTGCTTTGCCTTTTATCATAAATATTTCATAGGGTAGCTCGTAGTGTTGCAATGTTGTTAAAGTATTCTGATTAGAGTTGCTGCATTTCTTGATCAAATGTGGTCTTTTAGAGCATGTCTATATGCTCACAGACACTTCTGGGTCAAACTCGATTCCTTCACATCCCCTCTTTCCTATTACAGACAAGTACGACACTAAAAAAAAAATCTGTAACTGTTATAGTTAAATCTTGCCCATTATTTAGTGTTATCGAAGAAAAAAAGAAGAAGAAGAAAAAAAAAAAAAAGAACAGTCTACACCCCTAATCTCTCCTCATTGACTACAGAAACTTAAAATAAGCTATCGGTATGATAAAGTGTCTACATAAACATTGACATTAAAGAGGGCCTGACAGGACCGCTTGAACTAAATCTTAATTTCAAGCAACTTACATGAAAACGTAAACAAAAAGGAAATGAGAACAACGCGTACAGAAGCACAGGCAGCGTCATCTAAAAGTGACCTGGGGAAGGGGGAACCAAAAAGGCCTTTCTCTCCTTCCTCATAGCTAGAACTTCCACAGGCTCTCAGCTCTGGTCCTTCTGCAGCAACCGTGCAAAGGTTTCCCCCCTTTTTATTTGGAGGCAGCATTAGTAGCAGCATTCCAACTGCAGTCCCAACAAAAGGTTCAGACCCAGAAACTAAGATCATTATCAGTGTAGTGTGCCGAGACATGAATTATCTTCTTCCACAGCTTAAAGGGTGTGTAAAGCATGACAGCATTAAAAACTCCATGCCTACCAATAAATACATGTCGAAAAAGGCTATTTTACAAATCCAGAGATTTTTTTTTAATAGCTGTACAGTGTCAAAGCTTCCTGGAGTGTTAAGTAGCATTTTTCCCCCCAGTTTTTCAAGGCTTCTATGGAACTGGAAGAATCATGTGAGACCATCTCATCTGGACTGATAGCACTATCTGGCATAAAGGCTGCTCCCATCATCTCATGCGCTCATCTCTCCTAATCTGCTTATTTTCTGAAAACATCTAGTGCAGTTAGCAATTATGGGAAAAATCTCTCCACTCTTTGAAGCTGCATGCCATACTGCAGTACCTTAGTGAAAGTGGAGCGTACTGGTCCTGTCATTCGGGTGCAATACCAAGGTAACTCCCCTTACAAGACAAGGCAATGATTTCCTTATGCATTAATGTCTTCTTTCCATTGGTCCAGAGAAAGCGACTGGGGTGCGCCTCAATTGCGTCAGGAGCACGAAGATGTTGCTACCCTTTCGATGCCAGAGTAGATTCCTTCTCCAGTAGGTACACATAGGATGCGGCCTGGCGAGGCCCAGTAAAGGAAATGTGAGAGTCTTTGTGCGACAGTCCATTTAATTCTTAGTAGACAGGGCAGGGTGCTTATGTTAGTGGAAGGTCCCCCAAGGAGGATGAGATGTTTCGGAGAACTGTTGGTTCAGTTCCTCATTTAATTCACTCATTCAGTGCGCTCCTAAAGTGACTTGGCTTTCTATTCCCAGGTGCAATCATTGCCGCACTTCATTATCAATTAGGCTGTCCTCACCAGACTGAAAGGCTTCATTTAAGCCATTGTCAACACTGATTATTTCCTCGTCTTGTGAGGACCCCTGGCCGTCGTCCTCACCGCTGCCAGAACCAGTCTCATCTGAATTTGGCTCTTGTAGTACCTCAGCAATGTACATTTGCTGTAGGGGACAGTCAGAAATAAAAGAGTATTACAGTTTGGTACTCCTCTTTATGTTTCTCTACAAGGTTTTTTGTTTTTTCAAGGCTTGGTTCTACAGGTTCTACCATATGTGTGTGTTTTTCCTAGTTTATCCTTAACTGAAATGTATTGTTAAACAAGAAGCATGCTGATTATACTCCCTTTGTCTCTTCTGTTTAACCTTGTCAGGGTTGTGGGCGGGGCTGGAGCCCATCCCAGCTACTATAGAGCGAGAGGCAGGACAGTATGCCAGTCTGTCGCAGGGCTAACACATAGACAACTATTGGCAATTTAGTGTTTCCAATGAACCTATCTCCACTAACTGCATGTCTTTGGACTGTGGGAGGAAGCCAGAGCACCCAGAGAGAACCCACGCAAACACGGGGAGAACTCCACACACACACACACACAAAAAAGACCCTTGCCTGATGGAGGAATTGAACTCAGGGCCTTCTTGCTGTGAGGCAACAGTGCTAACCACCGTGCTAACACGCTGGCCTACTGATTAACCGTACCCCACTAACTGCATGTCTTTGGACATGCAGAGGACAACGGGAGTATATCTCTTTGGCAATCTTGGAAACCTTCCTATCCATTTGGCAATGGATAGGTAGGTTTCTTAACAGATTCTGTTTGATGCATGCATCTTGTCTTCATATATGGATGCGTTTTGCCATCATTAAAAATACTAGCACCTGCCACTGCCACCCTTCAGCCTCCTAACAGATATATCTGCAGTATCAATTTCAAAATCAAGCAAGTTAGATAAATTTTGGTTGTACAGCCTGCTGTAGTGAAGTTCTTCCCAATCTCACCCCATCCATAATTCATCTGTAAATTAACATTGCTCCACATGCACTGAAAAAGCACAATTCTGCATTAAAACTATATGTTACCCGTCTTTGTCCTTTGTTTTTGACTTCAGCTACTAAAGGCTTTGGCAGAGCATCCTGCTTTTTAACAGGATGCTCTGAGGTTCATGTTGACATTGATAAACCACTGAATACATACCGCTGCCTTGTTGGCAGCAGAAGGACACGCTGCGTCTCCATTTTCCGATCCGTCCACAGCCTCTGTTTCAATCTGACAGAGAAAACACACATTGAAAGTAGTAGAGCATGAGACTAGAGTAAAACACTAGAATGGCTAATCAGCATGATTCTAAACAGCAATACGCTATAAAAAGTGACCATCTACCAACCTTGTAGTTGTGAGCGCTGAAATATTTAAAATACCCAAAGATGACGTGACAGAGGCAAATGATGATTGTGATGATCAAAACCACAAATGTAAACATGGATGTTGCGGCTGAAAACCCTGGAGGAAAGAACCGGGAGAGACATTTATTGCACTGGGATCTGTCTTTCATAAATAACACCAGGCATGTGTTAAGGATCAGAGTGGCCTCTAGGTGGAGTCGTCTTCCTACCCGAGCGAACAGTGGAGAAGAAGAGAAGCCAAAACAGGCAGAGGATAGGAGCAGCCACCACTTGGTTTACAGCTCCAGAATGGATCTTCTTGTCCAATTTAGATGGCAGATACGCATAATACATGTTGTATCTGTCTGCTAGGTGTTTTAACAGCATGTACATCAGCCCTGCACAGGGAACAGAGGCAAGCCAATCAGTAGAGCTAATCCAATTAGGCCTGCCGATAAGCCACTGTATAAAGAACTGAATCACTGCATGCTGTCTGTCCTCTACATGTTTATCCTGCTGTAATTTCATCAGCAAACCATGTTAAAGTGAAACAGGAGCAAGCTAGCGGGGCTATTAAACAGCAGAACTCACCGAAAGGGACTATGATTGGGCAGGTTATGCTGTAGGTCATGACCACAGTGAAGACACACATCATCCAGGCATAAGCTGCCCCAAACTGGAACTCATAAGCCTGGTGCTATAAAGAGACAACAAGCCAACTTAAGACATAAACATTTTAACTACCAAATGTGGCTTTTTTTTCCCTTTTCTTTGAGTAATAATCAACAGTTGTTATAAAAAGGTTGGATTACATAGTTTTCACCATTGTATTTCAGCACACAGTACAAACATAAAAGTGGCAGTGAAACAACCACAATCACACCAGGCGATTTAAAATATTACTCAAACATTTGATCCAATATGAAAATTGTCAGAGAAAATTTTTCAAACTAGTCAAGTATCTCATGTCAGCAATACTCCAAAAGCCCAAGACATTTATGTAAATATCTTTTCACATTAAGAGCACAGCCACAACACATGAATGCACATAGTGCATCTACCCTTCTGTGCCCTTATTCACATCATATGGTCTCACTAACCCTTTTGACATTCTTTCTGTCAGCTGCAGAGCGAGCCAGACAGAGGCGGATCATGTACATCAGTAAACCAGGAATCCTCAGCAAGTCCATGGCATTACCAATGAATGCAGATGCTATGACATAGTTTACAAAGAAGGCTCCATTGTCAGGAAGGAAAACACACCTAAAAAGCAAAGAAAAAAAACCCAAAAACATAAGCAATCATCAAAAATACTAAAATGAGCTTTGAAAATTATTGCAGGATTCAGTTTCATTACAGATTAATTCAAGATGTTTTTGGTATTGCTAAAGGACTGATATAAATATTTAAAAATACATTCAAATCACATACTGCTCTATATATAATAGCATAGCACTGTGCCGTACACTACTCACTCAAATCTTATTTTAGCTTCCTGCAAGAAACTTTTGTCAAAAAGCCACCGGAAGAAAACATCCAAACTGCAAAGAAACAGGAAATGAAATTAATTATCTGAAATATTTCAGATGCTTGTACTGCTGTACAAAATAAAAACATACTTTACCTGGTGAGTCCAAGAGAGGGCAACAACAGGACCATAAAGATCAAGAAAGTGTAGCATTTATGCATCGTAGTCCTGTTTTCTCCTGACCTATGCAACCAAATAAAAAGGTGAACACATTAAATTATGCAATACACCAAATCACTTTAAACTTAAAATAAAGACTACATAACTCAAATACTGTTGACTGCAGAGAATTTAAACCATACCGGGTCCAGTGCCTTTCGAAGAAGGCAGAGTAGTAGACGACAGTAGGAAGTAAGGCAGAGAAAGACCACAGGAGGAGGGTGGGGAAGAACTGGGTGATGATTGGATTCTGAGGAACAGATCAGACAGACGAGGATATGTTTATGTAACTAAACAGGTGAATTCATGTGCTTCTGTATTAGGATGCAGACTTGTGACGCCTTGAACTCAAATGCTAAGAGGAAAAACATGAATATGCTTATAACTTAAAATTTAATTAAGCATTCAAATTTTGGGACGCTCACATTTAAGTACTCCACTGGTTTGGTAACATTGAACTTGTCCATGGTGGAGATGATAATGGCAGGAGTGGTGAGAAAGAAGAGGAGGATGAAGAGGATACTGTTGATTAACAAGCAGCGGAGCCACCACTTCAATCCTCCCAGTGACAGATGATCCCTGTGGGATAAAGGTTATACAGCGGTTAGACTGACACAGTCTGATGACCTGCAGTTACGGACACAGCTGGCTGGTAAACTGATACTGCAGCTTAAAAAACAATAGCTCATCTGGAGTGAGGAAGTATTTTTTTGAAAAATGGACTCATTACATCCCAAGCAGCCCTACTGTGGTTTTGCTGTGTGGGGGTGTTGTGTAGATCTCACCCCACTAAGCAAGCCACAATTGCTTAGTAGCAGATGTGCCTTGGCTGATTTTCTTAGAGTAGAACGGCTGATAAAATAAAACCTCAGTTTTAGTTCCCTTCCACCCACCCTGTCTCTGTGACTTCTATTTCACCCAGATACCTTATTATTGCTTCCCCACATCCCGTCGCCTTATATGGGAAAGTAATGGGACTGAATCAAATTAATCAGTTAAGAGCGTTATGAATAAACAGTTAGGAGCAGTTAGAATTGCAGCACTTGTTACTTAAATGTGTTCTTACCAGTAAACATTTTGTGGATCAGGGGCATAGGCGATGGTCCATTTTTGTGTATGCAGTTTGCCGCTGAATATAGAGCTTCTGGGCTCACGACGGCACTGACAGCCATGACACTTGCAGGCATTGAAGTCCTTTAAAATTCTGGGAACAGAGATCGGATCGTTGGGTAATGAGCCAAAGAGCTTGTCAGTTCAAAAACAATGCAGCAGACACATATACATTTATTTTCCCATGAGGGTAAGCGTACGTACATGGCAGCTGTGCCTTCATCCTCGAAGGTGACAAAAGCCATTCCTAAAGGTTTCGAGGTGATCTTCTCCCTCTCCTTCCTGCATTGTTCTTTTAAGCTTGCCTCCAAATGGGTATAGAAGCTCACTGCCTCTTCCTATGAAAGACAAAAAAAAAAAAAAAGTGATGATATGTTTTAATGGTTTACTGGGATACACTGGAATTACTGTGTGAATGGGTGGATGACTGAATGTGTAAAGCGCTTTGGGGTCCTTAGGAACTAGTAAAGCGCTATATAAATACAGGCCATTTACCATTTACCAATGTGAAACTGTTGCATTTAACCAGTAAAAGCCATTTAGTGTGTTAAGGGGTTACACAGTCCCATAGCTTCATGAAGGAGCAGTGGAAAAACCATGAATTTTTAACCTGATCAAAAAGATTCAGTTCATACCCATACCTATTCAACTGATCTCACTACAGAGTCCACACTTCATACATTATGTTTCGATATAAGCTACACCAGTATTAGAATGCACTGTTTTAAGGTAAAGTTATATCATACTCACCTGTTCACACCCTTTAACAATACAACAGCACAGGTGTCCACAGGGCTTTGGGTTGACCATGGTAATTGTCCCCTGTGTCTTCTGGTCAATAAAGAATTTCTTACTGCGTTCTGCCTTTTTCCTGAAATTAACGCATCAGCAATTAGGATTACTGAAGACGTAGAGCACATTTAAAAAATAAAAAAATCTTCAAACACATATTTGGTTAAAACATTGTTACCTTTCAGTGCTAAAATACATCAAATTGGCTACATCGTAACAGAGACGAGTTTCCAGTACACGACAATTATATGCCTTCCTGTGAACCAAGGGCAGAGAAGGAGACAAAATGAGTCCATTTTAAAGTACAATGATTCATAACACATTCCTTATATCAGCAAAGGGACTTTTCAAATATTACAATAGCATCTGAAAGTCAAAATACCGGGGACACATATACGATTACAGTTAATACTGTTTGGTCAGGTAGGATCTGAGCCAAACCACCCCAATCTCAATCTCAAACCACTGTGGCACGTGTCTTACTTAATTCTGCTCATCTGCCTTCTATTATGGAGAATTACACATACAGTCCTGCCATTGTCTGATCCTAACCTTAAAAGCCATGACGATGCAACTCTTAACAGAAAAAGGAATGGTTCTCATCTAACTTAATAGAGTTACTGCAAAGCAGCCATGACACCAAAGTACTGTACCATTTATATACACAGATAAAGTCTCATTATAGTTAAAATTAACCGTGGAGCTGGGGGCAAAATCCTTACTCAAAGTGCTGGTTTATCTCCTTTTCTTCTGCATATTTGGAGATCCCATTTATGAATAAAGTGCGTTTAACCTACATGGAGATGAAAAAAAAAGCGACAATCACTAACATCACACAGACTGACGTGTATCCAAACATGGTTTTCTGAAACCGTGCCACCCACCAGGTCATCCTCCTTGTATTGCATTTTGGATGTGTGCCGTCTCATGCTGTACACCGTGAGTAACAAGTAAAGAAATGCAAAGATGGTGTGCAGCCACAGTAGTGCGTTACTTGAAAAACAGAATATAAAAAGGATTTAATTAGTGGCACAAAGGGAAGACCCAATTAACTTCTTTAATAGCATTTTATGCTGTATAAAAGGGACGCTCCGTTACTCACTCTGCTCCGAGATTTCCTATAGTGGTTCGCCCAAAACTATAGGCATTGTTTTCTGTGGAAAGAAAAAGCGAAGCAAGAGAATCACTTGATTGAAAAGCAACCTCTGCACAGAACACAGCGAGGAAATGTGGAAAGTGGTTTTAATTGGGAGAAAAGTAAAAGGATCATTTTTTTGTAGGAAAAAGAATCTTTTGACTACTGACCTTCCAAAAATCGAAAAAGTGCTTATGCCCTATTAACCAATTACCTGTTAGTTTAGCAAATGACTATCCTTGCACAAGTTAAAGAACATAACTGGTATCACACAACATTGGTCTGCTGTAACATACAACACCAACAACTGCATTGGTTCTGTGCATTATAGGTTTTCTAAAACAGTCACAGAACTACGCAGATCTATGCAGTAGAGAAGGTTGTCAAAAGATGACCCCCCCCCCTCCAAAAAAAAAAACCCCAGCAACAACAACCCCAAATCAGAATAAAGTAAAGATAAAATACCAAAAACCAAAGGAAAAGAAATAAAATAATAAACAAAAGCAGCAAACTGGTCAAACATTTAGAGAAAAACTATCGTAAATATTTAAAATAAAATGTAGCCTCTTAAATGTTACTCTTATTCACCTAGCAGATTTCCAGAAAAGTTCACTGGCAAGATGATGCCAACAGAGAGCACGCCCACCACTACTAACAAGCCAATGATGTGGCGCTGAAAGGACAAGTAATGCACTGCATCGTCACCGCACTTTTCCCTTATCTCGTCTTCCCTTTAGAAAGAAAACAGGGGACACCTTGATCATTATTCAGAACAAAGAAAATTGCAACCTTTTATATAAAATAGGCTTTAAACAGGCTAACTCACTTGATCCGGAATATAGAAGTTAACCAGTCGCAGAACCCCTAAAGAAGAACAGCACATATTTCACAATGTTGTACCAGTTTTCCTGTTTTATTATTGTTACTATTATTATCATCAAGATTATGCAGCAGCAATAGAATACTTACTGTGTCTCTATGATCAAAATCCACCGAGCTAGAGACTGATGTGAGGCGCTCATAGCGTTCATGCATGTCAGATGTAGAAGGAGAAACCATGCTATATGAAAAAGACACAACACACAGCATTTGCATGACATTACACAACTACCCAGCATCACCATATACCATACAAGGATATTAGCTCTGGGTTTCAGGACAAAAGATAAACCTTCAGTATGGCAAAGGTCATGACACAAAACAAACACGCTGTGAAATGATCTGAAGAGATTGACCCAAGGTAATGCTGTGTGTGGTTCACAGCAGATTTAAGGTGGTAAACCAGTAAACCTCAGAAACAATCTCTGCAGCCACATCTCATGCAGTGTTAGGAGCTAAGCGCTACAGGTTATTTGCACCGTTGCTGTCAGAATAAATGGTGCAATAAAAATGACACGGCAGAAACCATTCACAGAGGAAGAAACAGAAACAAAGCCACAATCCAGAGACAGACTTGGGGAGTTCTTTCAGCAGAGCCATAGGTTGTCCTTGCTAAATCTGTTTACTTTATACAAATTTAATGCATGCCCCTGGGGGGAAATGGCAATTGATTTTACATATATTATGAAGAGAACTCCGACTCTGCTGGAATTTTTATTTTACTCAGAGTTCAATACTACATAAAAGGATGACGTCACCCGGGATTCTAAGAAATCTCTGATGGAATGAGTAAGAAGCCTGACGCTGGAAAAATCAGTCCTCTTGCACATGTCAGGTCTAGTACACAGGTTACACTGTAGGTGCTCCATGTTAGGGCCTGTCTATGAATAACCACAGATCAGGGAAGTATTACCTTTCCCCGCAAACATCCTGTGTGTCTTGCTCATGCGGTGTGCTCACACAGAAGAAGCCCGTGCTTCATAAAGAGGTCAATACACAGATTAGCAGACAAAGATCTGATTAGGACAGTGAGAGAGGACAGGGACACCCAACGGCAAAAGCATGAGAGCGACAAAGAGAGGAGAATGAGTCGGAGCCTGGTGCTAGGAAATGCCTGAAGGAGGAAAATGCCAAACCATCAAGAGTTAAAGAGGAAAAACACGAAGAAACCAGTGTGCCCTGAGCAGAGAGGAATTATGAGTAAGACAGTCTACAGAAAGTCAAAAGGAAAGAAGAAAAACTCAATGATAAAGAGAGATAACATACAATTCCTGTTCTTCCAGACGACTGTAAAATGTATCCCTTTTTCTTCTATAATAAAAAAAGAAAAAAAAAAGTAAATCAAAGCCATTCAGTTTAGTTAAGAGGAAATCACTCTGTTGGGGAAAAAACAGGGGAACTGGTTTAGAGAAAATCTGGGTAGGCATATTACACCACAAGCATACCAATGAAGGTTTCTGTTCACACTAGGATACATTATCCAGCCATACACACGTGTTCAGGACCTGGGATGTAGTAACCACTTTGTTTATTGTATTGTAATTGTTTTTGCAGCTGTAACAAAACATTCATCATATGTAATCCCCGTTTTTGATTGTCCAACTTTCCTGGAAAGGTAACAGCCTCTTTTCAAAACATGAAAAAAAGACAATGATCTGAAGTCAGAGTGTCGTGGGACAACAAACTACATTTCCTGTCTGTTACAAAAGTGTTCCATGCTGCCACCCCCCTCCCATCCTCCCACCATGCTGCCACCTCATCCTCTGCTCACATGCAGCTGCAAAAATAGTCTAGCTGCAACATCACACAAACACAGCAGGGGGGACATGGGTAATGGAGCACTGTGTCATGTAGTTCCCAGAGTTCACAGTCAAAGAGGTCTGAATTCAGTCTCTTAATCAGATCCATTTAATTTTATGGTGTAGCCTTAAAATCATTCTTTGTTAATAGGCATCTATTTGGCTGCTTCCAAAACTTTTCTAGTTAAGCATCCTAATTTATCTGGCAATAATACATCATCGTATAATAGCATGAACTACAGTCCTCTGGTCTTAGATGTGGACATTAATGTTGAGATGAACTAGGGGTACATAAAGGACCAATAGTTTAATTATTTTTTGCTTCTTTGTCAATTTCAGGCTTTTTCCTTATAATGTCAAAGTGGATAAACTATGTATTGAAGTACAAACCATCACATGGCAGACTGAAAGGGTGCTTTTCAAGGAAAAAGTGCTGAAACTGACTTCCTGTCTGGGCTAAAATCTTCACGATGTCTGCTTCTGTCAGAGGAATTAACCTCCTCTTCTGGGTCAAAAAACATCCAAAATGAAACGATGGCAGGACTTAAATTACGACCCCTGTAGGGCTAAATGATATAATTAATATTTTTACAAACAAATCAATTCTCTGTTTTCAGGCCTAATCTATTAGGTTATTTTATTACGATTAAAGTTAGTTAGTTAGTTGTTTTTTTTTAAAAAAAAGCTTGAAAACTAGTTTGAAAAGTTGTAAAATGTAAAAATCTAATCAGCAATCCTGCGGAGCAGGTGTGTCAAACATAAGATCCAGGTGCTAGAATTGACACGGCCCAACGGAAGGCTGGAAATGTGAAAGATGGCAAAAGGATTTGGACTTTTTTTTAAAGGTTTTGCAGCTTTTCCTATTGATAGAGACCTCCCTGATCGCCATTCACGATAAACCAAAGGGATTAAGATACACAATTATGTGACAATAAAGTTTCTGTCTATATAAATCTTTTTTAAACTGACATGCTGTTGAAATTTTACTATTTTTTCCTTATAGAACCACATTTCATGAATTTAATGTGTAGTTAAATATCTTTACACTGATAGAGTTGACAGAGTGAGCCAGACACAGTGTTATACTCGGAGCTGGGCCAAATGTCTAAAGGTAAATAAACTGCAGATAAAGAAAGCTGGATACACAGCAGAGTCAAATCTCTTGCAAATTATCCAGTTAATCCGTGCCCAGAAACACACATCGTCATGATTTCACCATTTTAAAAAAGGTAACATTACAATCCAACTGTGTACACAGATAACCAAAGTCTGGCAAAGTCCCAAGCTGCTCGCACCTACGCTAACAAACAAGCCTTCCATGAAACCTTGGTCCAAACCCCAGCAGAAAAATCAGGCTTGCTGTTTGCCATTTGTAAAGTTACACCTAATTTAGTATAAATATTTGGTGCATAAAATACAGCATAACCATACCAGTATAAATAATTTTGTAGTTAAATAAGTATAACACAATGAGTAGGTTAATGATTTAAAAATCTGTCGTTTAGAGAACGTGGTAACAACTCAAAGACACCCTGTGAACAATGTTTTCAGTCTGTTTTAACCACCAAAAGGTAATGAATGTGTTTTTCAGCTCTGAAAAACATGAATGTGAATACATGAATGTTTTCCATTATCAACTACATTAAATACATATTTTTAGAAGACCATCGTAATACCTTGTTACGTCATCCAGAGATATGAATACCATCACCAATCATGTTAATCCATTAAATGTACAATAAAATGAAGTTAACAGCTTTGTTGCTTGACTGGTCCAGTCTAGCAGACCAGTGTGTTCTTATTACCTTTCGGCATCAGTCACTAGAGCGAGGCGCCCATAGTCCCATGCCACTTTTCTCAAGATAGAGAACACAAACAGCAGACCCTAAAAGCACAAGAGAAAGAGCAGGTCAACACCTTCAGTACCTTTATTTACATTACAGGGACGTACTGAACTAAAGTTGCATAAGTGCTTTGGACTGTTTATAGTTTAAAAACACTTTCCTGGAACTATTTTTATCTCAGTTCTTAGAATTGTAATGACAACACAATACACAATATTAAAGGGCCCACATGTGATGATGAGGATAGCATTATGACTAGGGATGGGTATCGAAAACTGGTTTTTGTTGAGAACCGGTTCCCACTGTTTCAATTCCTTGGAATTGTTTGCCATTTTTGCAAACGATTCCCTTATCGATTCCAGTCGCCCCGAATGACGTCACCACTTTGCTGAGCGTCATTTACCTGGCAGGAAACATG